ATTCAACACGAACCAGATATGATCAATAGTGCTGGTATTCTGATGAATAGTTCACCTTCAGTCGAGTGAAGCAGCCATCTAGAGTATAGATCACATCAATCTGGTCAGCAGACATAACTGCCTGACGTTAGCAGTTTCCGAAAATGTATGTTACCTAGCAGTACAAACCGTCGTGCTCTTTCGCTAGTATTCTTAATTGTGATTTACGATATAAAGTTGATCACATGTGATGGCGATCTAAATAATGTCTTGTTTACAAAGGAAGCTGTGGCGAATTCTCATTTCATCCTCCCCCACCAACAATTTCTAAGTCCCAGTTGGCGTTAATTCTTCGGGTTGTAGTTGCTGGACTCAAGCACAAACTCCCTTCTTTTCCATGGCTATTAACAAATGGTGTATTAGGTGTCACGTCGCAATGCTTATTCCTCGCTTTCATCAAAAGAACGACCATCAGCTGACCGGCTCCCTGACTGCTTTCACCAAGGCACGTCATGGCGTTGCTTAGATTCCAGACAAGAATGATCACCTTTTTATATTTCTGTTGAGCGTCGAATTTTCCTTAGAGAGTTGATTGATTTTCCGTGGTAGATTCGTTAGCCTTGCAGCCAACCTGCCTACTTTTTCACCCTCAGAACCGGCTAGTAAACTTAGTGAGGTGACATCGCGCTCAAGTTCATCTATCCAGTGTAAGGTGACATGGGGGAGATCGCGTGTAGATAGGAGGGAGTGAGAGCCTATGGGCAATAGTGTGCCCATCTAGAACGGATTACAGAGAATAGAATTATTTCACATGGAACCTAAGACAATAACAATTAAAAGTAAACTAAGTGGGTTTTAACACCACTTTGACCGGTTTTCGAGACTACGCTCTATGAGTGGATTGGCTGACATTCTCCTATTGATCCACCATCAAAAATATTTGCGGTGACCATATTTTTATTTCACCTAAAATGTAATAGATACGTTCCAAATGTTTAGTCTGTATATACTACTATTTACATATTGCATCCAATCTACTGTTTACGCACATTTATTTATCACTTAAATATGAATTCTAACAGGATTATTTACTCTCGTAACTTTATCAATGATGCGGCGGTGGCATAGTGGTTAGGACGCTCACCGACCATGCACATGGCCCGGGGTTCGATTCCCGACCGACGCAGTCCTTTACCTCGCTAAGCCAGAAATAATGCTGGTGTAGAGGAAAGGTTGGGCATGAGGCTAGCAACCCCATCCTGTAAAAATAAACACTGCCACAGAAACTTCAAGCCTCTAACTTGAAGCCCTATGTTCCACTGGAGAAAGTGAAAGGAAAAAAGACTTTATCAATCATTTAAGACCAAATCCCTTCCATATTGCCAAGAAATCAAAGAGAAAGCATTGTAGTGGTTGGCAAAGAGCTCTCAAACGCATAACCAATACATTTAACTACAGGTTCTGTTATAATGAACACAAACTGCCGCTCTCTGCCGAACAAGATATTGCACCAGCAATCTCTGATGTCCACTGACAATTATCATAATACTGCTATAATCACAATACAAGAAACGTGGTTACATGAACTTTATGATGACAACCTTATCTCACTAAAGGACCTCGTATTATTTAGACAAGACCTTCACTGTTGCAATAAGAGAAATGGTGGTGGCGTTTCAACTTTTATTCACTCCAAACGGTCTATTTCAAATAATGTTTGTTTCTCATTCTCAGATGAATCCATAGACTGTATTACTGTCAAATGTCGTCCCAGACACCTCCCCAAATATAAACAGATCTTTGTTACCAACATGTACATTTCTCCAAGCTGCTCACTGTCAGATCTATCAAATTTTGCTGATGTATTCATCATGTTTGTTGCTGCCAACTCCGACAACTCTGTATCAGTTATTACCGGTGACTTCAATTCCTGGGACTGCTCTTTCCTTGAAGCACTTGGTCATACATAGTCAAATTTCCTACTCGACCTGACAAAACACTCGATTTAGTTTTCACAAACAAATATATGAAACACGTAAACGTTCACCGATACTCATCTCTGATCACTGTACTGTTCGCATTTTACCAAAAAATATACAGCGAAACTCATATTAAAGTTTTCTCACACCTTTCTATGAAAACACAACAAAGATGCTACACATCTGACAACTTACTCAATCTCAGGTGCATGTTAAAAATACTAACTGGGATTTATTCAGTGAAAGCACATTAGATGACACAATCGCCAATATAACGGACTATCTTAAGTTCTGCCTCCATATATACTGTCGTAAACAAACACTGTTCAAAAGCTTTGACAGCTTTTCGTCTCTTTATCTCAAACAACTACGCAGGCAAAAAGAAACATTATATAAATCCAAAGATAAGTTAGAACTTAAAAGGACTAATGCTCTAATCAAATCTGAAATAAAAAATCGCAATACTATGTATAAGCATACACTTCTATCATGAGAATCTCCTACCAACATGTGGAAACTTTTCAACGAAATTACTGGCAGAGGTAAGCGATGCAATGTTTTCCCCTCCCATGATGTTAACGCTCTTAATCAGTCTTTGATACGTTCTTTTTCCCCTTTAATTAATTCCAGTGTTACAAATCACGCACTTGATAACTTTCATGACTTTAGTACTCTTGATGTTCTGAAATGTCTTAAAACGCTCAAACCCTCACGTAGCCTTGGCCCTGATGTTATACCTGCATATGTTCTAAAACAATGTGCAGATGCTTTATTTTCTCCACTAACTAACATCCTAAACGTTTCTTTTTCCCAAAACGTTGTACTTGTTGCATGGAAAAGCATTAAAATAGTCCTTGTCCATAAACCTGGAAACGGCAAGAACGTAAAGTTCAGACCCATTGCCATTACTTCCCCTTTTCTAAAGCTGATGGAAAAACTAGTACTTCTTAAACTTGAACCCTCCCTTAAAAATTTTGAAGACCCCAAACAATTTGCATATAGACAGGGTAGGAGCACTTTAAATGCTGCAGCCGTCTTACACAACAGTATCGTCTCATCATTGGATAAAGGTGCCAAATACGTTCGTTGCATTTTTCTCGACTTCCCTTCTACTTTCGACTCTGTGCCTAGATGTCTCTTGCTAAATAAGCTCTCTGTGACACAAACTGAGTCCTGGGTCACAAACTGGTTGCATTCCTGTTTCTCAAACAGAATGCAGTACACTGTATTTAAAGGTAAATCCTCCTCTGCAGTGGTCACTGAAGCTGGTGTCCCCCAAGGTGCTGTATTCTCCCCACTTCTCTTTTCTTTCTTTCTACATGACTTACCATCTTCAAATGTCATTAATTTTGTTAAATATGCTGATGACCTGACTGTATCTTTGCCTGTCAAATGTCAAAGTGACTGCTCCAAACTAAATGGCTTTCTATCAGAAATCAGCCAGTGGTCCAAGGAAAACGGTCTTACCTTAAACCCCTCCAAATGCCAAAAAGTCAATTTCACCTTCAGGCATAAATCTGACCTAAACAAACTGGTTAGCTTTCAAAAAGTGTGCAACACAGATGGCACTGAAATAGAAACCAAGTCGGAAATTAAATATCTTCGCGTCATTCTACCTGCTGATCTTTCCTGATCGTCTCATATCTTGATGATTTCTACATCAAGAAGTTAAGACATTCTGGTATAACCCAACCCTTACTCCTACAATTCGTTAACTCTCTATTGTTCCCCCTTAGTTTTTCCAGGGCTACTGAAGAAGGACTACATCTGCTACGTAGGGTGTTAAAAGTTGTCAGCAGGGTAAGTAATGTGCCGCCTAACCAGCTTCTTAATATTCTGGTTGACAGGCACTTGAACTCATGTGAAAAATGGGCTAAATCCATTCTGTCTAACTCACACCGCCCTCTTCATTCAAATCCCTCCCTTTGTATTTCATCAGGCAGGAGCAGAATCCTATATAGAAAACTATATGCTCGCACCAGCAAGTACAAAAACTCAACCATATCCTACTTGGCTCATGTTCTGTGCGATAAAAAAAGCATTAGGCGTGATACCTATAACTTATTAAATAGTCAGTGGAACAACTGGATCTCGTCTTTCCAACTCATATCATTTATAGTTACAACGTTTTCTTTCTTTCTTTTCCTTTTCTCTCTCTTTTTCTGTTATGTGCTGTTTCGTTTCTCTCTGCCTTACAAAATCTACTTAAAACATTCTTCTTCGTTCTTTCACACTCTGTATATCTCGACCTTTTTGTTACCACTTACTCCAGTAAATATGCTAGTATCTACTTTTCAAACACCTTCAAACATTCTGTTCACCTTTGGCTTTGCTACCGACATGCTAATATGTTGTTGTCGAAATTAACTGAGACTACCCATAATCTATGTAGAATTTTATTTATTGTTAATGTACAAACTAGATGCAATACTGTAGTGAAATGCTGAGAATTCCATTCTGTAACACAAGTACTGTTTTGGAATAAAGCAAATTATTATTATTATTATTGAAAATTAACTCACTATCTGAATACCTTTTGACTTCACGACATAAAATTCCTATGGAATTCACGGAAAGTCCATTCAAACTTCTACTTTTAACCCTTTAACTGGTCGAAATACACATCTGAATGCATTGCAAATTATAAATTATAAATTTTTGATAGCAGTATAAAACGATTTGAAGAGAATTCCTAAAATTATATAAAGGAAATATCAAATGGAGTGTCTCTGTTTTGTAAAGAAAAATTGCGATTCTTTATCAACGAATTAAATGTTAAGTAGAAAAATTCATCATTTAGGACTACTCACTGACCCCTCCCTCCACCTACAAATCCACCTCCTTCAGTTTTATTCACTGTAATCTACCTAATCAGATAATAATAATAATACTGACAAAAGTGAGCAGGATAACACCTACGCAATGTGTTGATCATCATTATGAATGGACAAATCAGAATCAAGTTTCCTATTCATCTTCACATAACCTATAGAGAAGGTGGAAATCCACAATCCACACACAAATATATATAGAGGGAGAGATGTATAAACGTTGGCTGTTTATTTAAAACACTTTTCACTGACCAACTCACCGTCCAACTGACCAATATTTATCACATCTAACTGATCCGTAAGTAGAATTCTTAAATATATTTTTAAGTTTTCTTAATGAGATTTAATTATTTTCATGGTAATATTTGTTGAACATAAACTGAATAGTTTTCTATTATGTTGTTGAATGTGTACTCGGAAAAATCCTGAAGTTATACAAATCCTATTACTTTTGAAACAAGGTTAGACAGGGGTTCTTTATGGTTCACCCTTAGTTGTGTTCTATCCAGATTTTTGTTGCGTCTCACAATGTGGTTTGTTTAAGTGCTTCAGAAATTGAGTAGGATGAAGTAAGAGTTGGGATTGTTATTATTTCTATCATTATTATTATTCTGACCCACTAGGAAGAAGGCAAACTTCCCTATTGTAACTCGTTCAGCGCAGTGATAACCACAGCACTTATATTCGCTTCTGATACACAGTAGTGTAAATTCTAGTCTGGTGTTTGTAACTGCTTTCCAAACATTCAGTATCATAAATATTCAGTGAGTGTTAATAGCAGACTTATTTCACTGTGAAAAATTTTTGTTTGTGTTTTCTTTTTGGTGAGGGGTCTAAACCATGACTGGTGAAATACTCTACCTCGCTCAGATATCTTTTGAATCCAACTGATGTTAGTTAGGGATTTAGATTGATTGAAGATTTGATATGCTCACGCGTTAGATAACACGAATCTCTCTCTATATCTGTCTCTGGGCACTTGTTATGACACATAAGATTTATACTAAACACGGTTTCCTTATTATTTCTACACTACAATAAATATAATAATTATTTTATTATTATTATTCCCTTGGGTTCCGAGTGGAACGCAGGGATTCAACAACACATCTCCATTTTGTCCTATTTTCCGCCGTCCTCTTCAACTGGGTCCACAACTGCCTATAGTCTCTCATCTCCTCCTCCCCACACAATCTCATTCATTTCGCTCTCGCACTAACGATCCATCCGTCGCCTCCTATTTGAATTCCACACGAGGGCCTGCAGCGCGATGTAATTAGATGATATCCGCAATGTATGCTTGATCCATCTTCATTTTCCCTAACATATTTGTTGAGAGATAGACTCCTGGCTGATTTGTTCCAGTGGAGATTATCTTGTTGTTAATTCTTTCTGGCTGGCCGGCCGGTCATTTGATCTCTAGTGTGGAACGAAGGCAGTTATTGATAAAAGTCTGCAACGTGTGCATGAGTTTTCATCCAATACATTTTGTTTTAAACTCACAGTATAGCTGACTATATATAAGCCAGACGTTCACATTCACTGAATTGGCATCCAAAAATCTCTCGTTCCATGTCCCAAGTGTAACAAATAAATGTGGGGCTAATAATCAACATCCCTGAACATATCCAGCTATATCGATTGGGGTAAAACTAGTACGAGGTATCGTTCATCTGTCAAAAACATTCAAATATCTTATCAGAATAAAATCAAAATTACTTCTTATCAAAGTCAGCGAATGAATATTAAAGAATTTATGAAATCCATATGAAAATAAACTTCTTAGCAAAGTACTTTTGCTCACTGTCTGTTTTAAAAATCCATTACTAATTTATTCAAAATGTGTGTCATTAATTTTATAGACATATTTTATGTATGTATACGTGTATATGGTATTTGGAATGTGTTCTTCTTTGTTCACTTCGATGTGAAATGTAATCCTGTTTAGGTGGTTTTGAAATCGAATTCCCCACCAATACCTAATCACATTGTGATTAACTCCCCCTCTACTCCCACTAATAATTAAACCACTTCGTAATATTTGATGCACATAAGATCACCACAAACCTAATTTTGAAACTTTCACGATCAAAAAGCAGAAAGTGAGACGACTATCAAATACTTTCCATCTTCATCCTGGTTTCTGAAATTTTACCAGGTTTCCGAAGTTACTTTTATTAAAAGCAGATAGCCAGCTAAAATGAATAGCCAACAAGGAACTCTCGCATAGAATGTCATAAATAACTTATCATACACCTGTTCATTAAAGCATTCTCTCATAATTTACAATATGCTCACTAGTAACTGGCTACAAGATAAAGTTGACTGGACTTCTATCGGGAAATCGCGACCAGTAGCATTCATCCAGTCGACACTGAGAGCAAATACTTGCCGCCGATGACACTGCCTGGTTGTAGCGCCAAAAATCATCAATCGGTAGAAGTTGAACTTTATGGTGTGGCCACCGAGGAGTCGATTCCCAGTGGCTGAAGAGTCAACGAGCTTGCCTTGTAACAGGAAGGTCGTGGATTTGAGATCCAGTGGGCGCGTACTGCTCACAAATCCCGAACCAGGTCGCAGGAAAAGGCTGTTGAGTAATCTCACTTGGTTTTCAGTGGCTTCCTAATTGGTTTCAATCTGTGAGCAAACAAATCCCCGAAAAAACCATATAATTACTCTTTTAATACATTTTTTCCGGATTTCATTCAAATTTATGTAATTCCTTGGATAAAAAACTAAAAGTTTCCTAAGAATATCTGATTGATATCAGATGTAGTTAATTAAGGCAAAAGATAAGCAATGAGATTATTATTATTGATTTATGACGACTCTAGTACTTTTCTATATGACTTATTGTATATGACCTAGTTTAGACAATCAAAACATCTGCTTCAATTTATCAAAGAGATTCAATGATACTCAAATTAAGACAGTATAATGCAATGCGCTCCAATGAAGCTGAGCTTATTTGAAGAATATATGCCTTGAATATGTCAGAGATTGTGTATCTAATAATAATAATCTTTTTTGTTTGAATTGGATGTGTCATTCACTAGGTTATTGATAATGTTGGTTGCTAGAGTAAGCTATGCAATCCAATTAGTCTATTGATTTGTTTGAAAAATAAAAAATGCTATGCATAAGTACTGATTAGCTAATCAAAGGAATCATTTGTGTGAAACTGTTGTGTAAGACTTGATTATTAGTCTTATTTGATTCCTTTACGTTCTCTGTGGAATTATAGGGCTTCAATCCTCAGCTCTGAAGTTTGGATAGCAGTAGGGTTATTCTTTTTTCACAGAGGAGGGTTTCTAGCTTCACGCCTAACCTTCCCTCTTTACCGGCATTACTACCAGCTTGGTGAGGTTTAGGACTGTGTTGGCCTGGCGATCAAACCACTGGCCTTCTATGGGGTGGTAGACGAGTGTTCTACCGCTGAACTAAAGATGTAAATCACGTAAGACTGCTTGTGTGATAGTGAAACTTTCAGTTTTATTTAGAAAGATGGTGAAGGTTTCCATTTTGAAGATCGCTACAATGGACTGTGCTGATCTAACTTTCTTCTTATAAAGATAATAATAGTAATAATGTGTAGTAATATTATAATACATTATAAGCAATGAGGGTTTCAATCAACTTTCCAAACCATAATAAATATTGCTAAGGTACTCTTAAATGGACGCGAATATAAGTACATATGTGCGTATTTTAAATAGTAATCGGTTGATAGTTTTTTCCATGTTTGCAAACCGCTGTTCTGAGAAACATTATATCTTCGGGCACAATGAAATATGCTTGTTGGCATTTAGAGCTATGAAATCTGTTAAGTGAACAGCTTGTTAAGCATCGGAGAGTGTTTCCAATAATCTCAATCTTAAAAGACTGATTACTGAACATTTCGTCGTCACGTTCTACACCGTTATGAAGGTGATAACTTAAGAAGTATTCCTATTAAGAACATTAGTGATGTTTTTTACTTACATTAAATCAGTAGTATTGACAGATCACATTTCAAAGGCTTCAGTAAGAGAAAGCAAATACGCATTAATATAACGCTTAACTGAATATTAGATAAATTAAGGGAAGTAACACGGAATTTACGAATTTATAGATTCGACAGCAGGTCAGGGTAACAATAATGGCTGGACCTGCTAATTTTGCACTTGGAGCTTTGGTTGACTTCAGCGAATTGCAATAGCTCACTCTGTTTGGAGTGTTCAGTATCTACAGGTCTTCAGTAATTTATTCAATATTCGATAGATGATAGACAAAGACTCCTCAGTGCCAGCTTTGTGTCGTGTACGGACGAGATGATCTATTACAGAATTGTTGACCTTTTAACTAAAGTTTTGTTAAACCACACTGGTAGGTATTCTCCAGTAAGAAAAAGTAGGTTCCTAGAGCAGCGGTCAGTATAACTAGCTACACAGGAGCATTTGAATTTATAGAGACAACAAGAGATAACTAGAAAAAGCACTTCACCTTTTAGTTTCTGAATCACAACTTGCCGTGTAGAATCTGGTAACGAGTCTGTCGGAAAGAATATTTTTTGTTCATTAATCCGTCTTTGAAATTCTTCATGAGTGCCTTTAATTTTGAATATTGTCTGACTATCAAGTACTGGTATTCGTAGAGACTTGGTTTGATTGGTTGAAGGATTTCCGCATGAGCTGACATCAGTTGGGGAACCACTGGAAAACCTGGGAGTACTGGACAGCTGTTTCATCCTACATCGGGACTCTTCATCGGTACACACCCACCGTCAGCGTTCGAACCCAGGACCCACTGGTTACAAGGCGAGGTAGCTCGTAGACCATTAAGCCACTGGGAGCCGATGTAATGGCCAATTCATGACATAGTACAACCACTTCGCAATGTCTTCTTCGGTGAGTCACTGCCTCACATTCAACCTGCTGTACCCTACTGGTCACGGCTTCAACTTGAACCCTAAGTAACTGCCTGAACAGGACCAGTTTCTAGTGAGCATCACATCAATTCACAAGTATTCGTCTGATTACCTGACGAGCCTAGTTGATATGACCGCCGATTGTGTTTTTAACAGGGCTACATACAGACTAATGAATGGACTTCAGTCAACATTAATGACAAAACGAAACTGTACAGTCATCTAAAAGGTGTGAAAAAGTCAGAAATTTTCCAAAGGAAAATTTTGTATATGCCCTTAAGCATAACTTGTAAACATCTGATAATGAAATTATGATTTGGCTGTCATGGTTTCGTTACAAACTACAAAATCAGTTACCGAGATCACATTTACTCATCTTTGCACTTAGCAGA